CTGCTTACCCGCTGCTGGGCCTATGAGCCCAGTGGCCGTCCCAGCTTTGGCCAGCTTGCCTGCTCCCTCAGGTGCACACTCACCTAACTGAACACATGACCCCCAGTACCTGCAGAAGGACTGATCCCACTATTCAAAGTTATATAAACTGATGATGCCTGTGTTTAACAGTGACATCCACAGAATGGAAGTGGAGCTGGAGAAAGATGAGAGGCGAAACAAACCACGGTCCAACTCGATAGCATTTGATCCCAACCACACGGAGCCTCCACCAAAGGTACCACACATGCACCAATATGAGAATCTCAGAGGGTCTAAACTCCTCCCTGCAGCTGTCTTAAAAAAACTTCCCACCTAGGTGTAAACCAGCATAGACAGATTAGGCTGAATTACTGCACACAGAAATGATGACATTTCGATTATGCCAATTGAAATCTTAAGACATCAACAGAGTTATTATAAAGTTTCTGGTTCCTTACAGTCAAGTTAGTTGATTAAATGACTTAAAAATGACTTTTTCTGCTTATTTTATCTCAGTGTTTTTCACTCTTTGTCTGTTATAGTAGTTTGACTTAGTCATAGTTCAAAGAATCTATGGAATGGAAACAAATAATGTGCTTTTTGAAAAACCGCCTGAACATACAATTTAAAATTGCTTCTTTGCTAAGTTGTCTGTTATATGTTTACACATTACACTGCTGCCTTTTTTATGCTTAAATATTTATAGGTCATTGTTAAGTGGCTTAGTGAAAAAGCAGCCAAAGACCTTCAGAAAGCCCGTGGCACAGATAAAGACCAAGAACTCAAAGAAATGAGGGGTGGCTCAAGACTTGCACAGCACTGCGCACACATATATTTTTGTTGCGTTACAACGCATCTTGAAAGTGAAATACACCAGAGTTTCTGCTTATTAAATGTGCCAAACTTTTCACTTTGGTTTCATAAATGAGGCTGCAACTGCAGATGCTACATGCTAGTTCCTCCATATTCAGGTTCCTAGAAAGCTGGAGATAGTGTGGAAGTAAATGGGGAAGATCCAGTCTTTCATTAACTCACACAGATCACTTTCTTTTTCACAAGCAAATTTCAACCATTTATCTTTGGTTGCCTTTTTTATACGCTTATTGTGATTTTTAAAATGTCTTTTTTCATGTGTATGCAGTTTAAAGTTATGTGCAGAATGAATTATGTAAATGTATTAACCTACATATTGTCCTCTTTCTTTCTCTTAGCCTTCCAGATCAGGAGGCAGCACCCTTCCCCGAGGCTCACACATACAGGTATCTAAACACACTTACACACACAGATATACAGTAGTGTACACATACATGTATATTTGTGTCTAAATTCAGATTCAGCTGCGCGCGTCCTTTTACCCAGGAAACACATATTCAGTGAATGTTAATACAGTTTTGAAATTTGAAATTTTACCTTCACAAAACTGCTTCTTATCAGCAATTGCATTATTGATCTTTTCATATTGCTTAACAGCATGAGAGGGAAATCTCTTAGAGTCACGTTCGTCAGTGGAAGCGCTTCTGGTTTTTGGCTAAAGGCGTTAAAATTGGATGACTGGAGGATATAGTGGAGGAAACAGAACACGTGACAACAAAACTGTTTTGCATAAGCAACTGAGAAAACGTTACAAAAAACACATGAGGTTTTAAATAACTATCTGCGCTGTATATAACTATCTGCACCAGTATAATAAAATTAGTAACATGTCAAGGGCGTGTGTGTGTCTGTGTGTGTGTTTGTGCATGTGTAGGCACCTCCAAAGGATAGCAGCCCAGCATGGGAGAAAGAGAGAGTGGAAGAAACTTTGGAAAGACAAAGAAGAGAAATGATGATGGACAAAATGTGGCTGGAGCAGGAAGAGAAACAACTGGTGAGAGATCTCACACACACACACAAACACACACATAATGCAGCCAGGTTTGAACCGCAGGAGTTTAGCAGTGTAACAAAATAAAGTGATATATGTCTGATACAATTTCATGGGACTATAATTGATTACACATAAAGCACTAAAGCTTATTTTTAAATGTGTTTTCCTGTAGGTTCCTGTTGTGGGACGAGATACAGAGATCGAGGTACTTTCTTCTTCTTTTCCTCTTGTGCAAATCATGCTTTGATCAGCGTGAGGCAGAAACCCAGTTGAAAATACAGCTGCTCGGCCATGCAAACCCATGCCATGAAGCTCTTGATGCACAGTTTTTGTGCTGATGTTAATAACAGAGGAGATTTGGAGCTCTGCAGTGTTTGAGTCATTACAGTACTAGCGATAGCTATGCAACCACGTCAGCAGTGGGTAAACCCACTGTGCAACTTTAAGTGATTTCCCACTTCCTGGTGGAGTTACCATGATTCCTAAATGCTTCAGATTTTCTGCAATACTGCCAACATTTGATCTTGAAATATCTAGGTGGGAAGAAATTTCATGAACTTACTTCCGAGGTGCGAGGAGAAGGACAGAGATCTGGTGACAGATCTTCCTTAATGCTTCAGCAACACATGAAGCATTAAGGAACAACTTTATTGGTTGACCAGCGTGTTTCAGCTTATGGCTTTCATCGTGGTCACAAGTCGAAACGCGTTGGTCTTTTGTCCATATAGTGTAAAACTATAAATGTTAAATTGATCTTCCATCTACAGTTTGAGCTGACAAAAATTCAGTGGTGACTTGGTTACATCAACAGAGTTTAAACTTTTAAGACACAAACATTGTTGTGCTTTAAATAACTCGTGTGGTTTGCTTAATGAGGAAGTTGATTTACTCAAAAATGTGGTAATGGTGTGGGGTGGGGGTTGGGAGGGTGATTGGTTTAAACATATTGGTTTCCAAAGATTATTTAAACGCTGCTGGCTAACCGTACTCTTAAGTTGATAAAGAGTATCTGTGTCACTGTTTCTCTGTTATTTGCAGCTTCCTCACAACAGCTCAAAAAACGGTGAGTCCACTTTTCTCTCTTTTAACTGCAGTGTAACGTACAAAATTAATTAATTGATTAACTAATTAGTAAGTTTCAAATTAACTGTTAAACTGTTCATGGAGTGGGCAAAATCCTGTGCTGTTGGCATTACTAGTCTGATACATGGCTTTGATTTATTAGATTCTCTTCTGTGTTTCAGGTCCTCCACAGAAACCTCCAATGCCAGCTGCACAGGTAAACGTGCACAATAAATTTTTAATCAAAAATAGTTAAGAAAGGGTTGAAAAGGTTTAAATGTGGACATTTTAAAGCTTAAATGAAGCTACGTGTCAGTAAGAGCTTTCTTGTACTGCTGTAGCCTCGTCCCACAGCTGAGCTGGACCGATCAGGTGATCAGGTTTACACCAGCGTCATGGCGATGGTGAAGCAGGTGGTCCAGCTGAAGAATGATGTCAACACACTGCCGGCTTCTGAGTATCCCAATGCTGTCAAGGTAGGTCTATGGTAGTATCTATGATACACTGAGGATCACCTTTTTTCAGGGCACACAGTACTGACAGCAGAGGGCGCCGTTGGTTTAGCTCAAGCAGACATAAAGCTTTCTATCAGGTGAAGGAGAGTTTATACAACTAAACATGAGTTCCAGCATTTAAAACGTGGGACATTTGTGGTGTTATTAAAATTAACAACAGGTGCACTAGAGGGGCAACAATGAGACAACCAATGTTCCCTCTAAGCTGCGCATGTGTGCAATTGCGCACTGCTGGCACGGTCTCTGCGCACAGAACACAAATCTGCGTTGCGCACAAAAAAAATCTAACCTGAATTGAAATTAAAATTTATACTTTAACAATTCTGTTTTGCAGTGTTTGGCTGCTCCCGTATGAGATTAGAACGATGCCACCTTATCCTATAGTCCAGCCAATAATGTGATTCACATTCGTATATATGCAGCTAATCAGTGTCGTTTACAGGCTATGACAGCGTCCTTATGCGCCGACACCGGTGTTTTAGCTAGCAAAGCGGCTTGGCTGATGTGCAGTAAAGCCACGTTAATGACAACTTGTACAACCACTGGAGATGTGAGCAGGACAGACGGAACAATTGACGGAAAATGTGTGGACTTTGTACCAGTTTTTAAATTGTGTTGATAGGCCACGTAAAACCAGAGTTATGATAAAAATATCTGCAATGTTTGGTTTTCTTCCTGAATACTGTCGTTGTTTATATTTACTGCGGGAAGAAACGGTAAAAACGGCGTTTTATAAGGAAAACGCTTGAAAGCCTGTGAGCAAAAACAAACTCCACCCCCTCTCCCTTTCCTATTGGTGGAAAAATGTACCATGTTGACCAATCAAAAAATTATATGGCAACATGGCATTTAGTTGTTTAGGGAGGGGGGACGTTTTAGGAGTGATGGCGGTGTTTTGAGATGTGAGAGATTTGCGACGTTTAGCGCAAATCTTGTGTAGTTAGTGTGTAGTGTAGTCAATAGTTTTGTTGTGTGTGTCAGAACAATGAGGCGACTGTTGAATGTTACAGGTGTTACAGCAGTGATACATCTCCTGTTGTCAGGCCTGCAGGTATCAGGCTGTTGTTCTCCTTTATCTCATAGTGGACAGAAATTATTTTTTGGAGTGGCACAAATAATTTATGTGGCATCAAATTTGATGCAGAACAGCTGATTGTTCTGTAAATAGTTTGAAATGTTTATTTAAAAAAAAACGCCTTGGCTGCATTTTTAGGTAAACAGCTGCAAAAAACTTTGTTGTTTGCATAACCCAGTTACTTTTTTGAAGAAGTAACTATATAATTAATTGCCCAACGTTGGTCATTATATACTGTATTTTGCAGACAGAGAGTTACAAACTCTCTCCCAGACCACAGACTCATAATACAAGTTAGAGCTTTACAGAAAATAAAAACAAAGATGTTTTCAAAATTGGAGTTCAAGTTATTTTTAATAACTTTTTTAAATTTTTAAGTCTTTTTAATTTTCATTGTAAGTGGGATAAAGCAGTTAATTAAAAGTCGTCTAACATAAATGTAAATGCTGTAATTGGATTATTTTAATAAACCATGTAACTTGGATGGATTCGATGCCGGTGTGACCACAGTGCAAACGTCTGCTGTTGCTCACAGTGGTCCAAGGGACCGCTCAGGGCATTTGTGTGTTCGCTCAGACATGTGAAAAATTAGAGGGAACATTGGAGACAACTCCCAAACTCATCATGTCCATCATTAGTGCTGTAACTGTACCATACACGGACCTTTTTTCAGGAGTAGTTTGAGCCACTGACAGTAGAGGGCGCTGTTGTTTTAGCTCATGCACACATAAAGCTCACTATCACGTAATGGAGAGTTTATACAACTAAACATGAGTTCCAGCTTTTAAAACAAGGAAGACTGTTTGTATTTGAGTAATTGATAATTTTATCCTTCCTCGTCCTTACTTCCACATGTCTCTCACTCCATTCATCTTCGCTTTTCTCCATCATCCACCTGCAGGCAGTGGGTATCTCTCTCCGGACCCTGATTCAAAGTGTTGATGAGATCCTGCCCTCTCTGCACTCCTCTGTCACCTCAGAGGTAGGTTTCAAATATTGTCTGCCTTATGTTTTGTGACAGTGTATGCATATCAGCCAGCAGACCAGATGTAGAGGGATTTTCTTTGAAGATTCACATAAACAGAAGTTATGTTGTGAAACAACCTTAAATACTCAGTGCAAAAAGGCTTTTTGGCTTCTATGTGTGTCAATATAGAGATTATTACCATTTGACACTTTATGCCATACATAAGCATACTAGATCATCTTTTCAGTCTTTATACTTTTTTTTTACCTCCTGTTGTCTGTATGATCTGATCTTCCTTCTGCTCCGTCCTAGATTGAGGGCACGAAGAAACTGCTGAACAAGGATTTGGCAGAGCTGATTAATAAGATGCGACTGGCCCAGCAGAACTCCATAACATCACTAAAGGAGGAGTGCCAGAAGCAGATGTTAGCTGCTGCTCACACTCTTGCTCTTGACTCCAAAAACCTCCTGGATGCTGTGGACCAGGCTCGAGTCAGGGCCAACCTTGCCAAGCCTAAACGTGACTCAGAAGATGAAGAAGATTCTGGGGAAGACACATAGGTTCCCTGCTGATCAAACGAACTTGAAAGTTGGCTTTAGTTATGAAAGGATCAGTTCCTTTCTTGAGGACATGTGGAGGCTATTATGGTGCAGCTCTGTCCCGGGGGGACGGGGGTGTATCAGCTAATGAAAGATGTCATACTGTATTTGTATATGCGCTTAAACAACTGAACTGAAATGCTGAATGTATTAATAATATTTGTAGTGTTTATTCTATATTTTTACTATTAAAAATTATGACCTTTCTGTGTTGCAGTGGTCATTTTATGATATAAATTAATGATACATGATACACCTGTGGTATTAATGTAAAAATTCTATGTTGCTTTGTTCTCAAGTTATTGCATTCACACCTCTGACCTTGATCTTTAGGTCCAGTTCACTTCAGTTTGAAGTCATTCAAAAAATTTTGGTAGATGGTATCAATTTGAAAAACCTACATCGCCTCGTTCTCGAGTTATCCCAGTCACAAACTTGCTTGTCCATGCTGGCTACCCGCCCAGCAGTTTGACAATAATACGTCTGAAAGGTAAAAAACTACACTGAAATGATGTACTAAAGTTTGTTCATGTGCTCATGTGGTTACCACAGCAAGCCAGCACACCCTTGAATATTGTGCTTTTAACATCAGTCCTGTTAAATGGCTGTGGGGTAAACTCTCTAGCAGGTAATTTGCATAGCTGTTACTGTGCAATGACAACCTCGGGCAGCCTTGGGTGGGGTGTACAGACTTGAACTGCATTTATTCACAGTCGTTCACAGTAAAGAAAAAAAAAAGACTATATTGTTGCTTCTAAGGAAAGTGGCCAACTAGAAATATTGTTTTTGACAAAACAGTTTAAAACTTTTTATTTTTCCTGTTTGTAATGTGAATAAATTGTTAAAATGTTAATATGTGTTGTTTCTCCAGACTTTAATCGTGAAATCCAACAAATGACACGAAACAGGTGTCGATAACAAGCAGAACAAGCTGTTTGGCATTGACAGGGAAGATTTTATGAGTGGGCTTTAGGGACGTTGTTGCTGAAACGCTCTTCACACACATTACTAAAACACTTTCACACACACACACTAATGAAAACTGAGAAGATTTCAGTTGAACAGGAAGTTGAGAAAAACAAACGGTACATTTCAATACCACAAAAACCACGCTGATGTCTACTCAACAGCTTGTTAGCAGCATAACAGAACAATTTTTTGGCCTTGGTAGTGACTATCAGAACACTGTTGTAGGATAGCAACAAGTCTAGACCTCCTGGCCATGCTAAGATGCACCATGCTAGCTGCACCTACAATCTGGAAAGAGGACTGTGTGACGGTACCTCAACTACAATGAAATTTTATCTGATACCCTGAATTTTTCACATGCATTCTTTGAGATGAGAGGCAATGAAGAGGATGTCGTAAAAATGTTTCACTTGTTTCCTGCAATGTATTGAGTCTTTCAAAACAAATATTCAGACAATTTTAGACAAGAGGGAGTGCTAGATGATTATACACAAACTCTATTGGGATTTCTTGTTTCTGGTGTCTGATGTCCAGGTGCCAAAGTGTGACTATTCAGCACATCCACACTTATACTTACAGCAGGTCGATGCTCCATGGCTGTCACATTTTAAAGAGTTCTGATGGTCTCTTTTAAGACTAATATATTTCACTTGCAGGCTGTTGAGCAGACATTAATGTAATGTTATCTGTATTTTGAAATGTGTTCTCACTGGTCACTGTCCTGTTCACCCAAAACACCTTCCTATTCAGTTTAAACAGCTTCCTTTTCACCTGAAACAGCTTGGTTTTCAGTAGTGACAACCTTTCAGAGTTTTTATTAGGTGTAACCCACATATTCAACTCTACCCAACCCCAAAATACATTTCCTAGACAAACTTGGTACCACTACAGGGGAAATTGGGGCTTTTCAGTGGTATAAGATTTAATGCCAAGAAGCATCATTACAACTTAGAGATAATAGACAAATTTCCTTACTTTTTTGTAGGCTGACACACACTCTCTCCAAATCTTTTAATAAGTAGTGCTGAAATTTTGGACTTGTCAAGTTTTGTTAACTTGACAAGTCCAAGGCCTATTAACTTTTCTTAACTTGCCTTAGTTATCCTGACTCTTGCTAGCATAAAAAATGATTTATTACACAAAATTCACTGGACTGAACAATTATCAGAGTCCCAGATATGTAGATTTCCACAAGTTTGACCAATTTGCCAAGGTCTGGAGGAAGTCCCAAACCATCACCCTCAGTAAATTGGTTAGGTCTGCCCAGGGACCACTAAGGCTCAAACCTGCCATGAATTGGAAATTGCTGGAACACTAGCATCACTGTCCACAGTGATGCATGTTTTGCAACACTATTGACTGAGAGGGTGCCAATAAAGAAAGAAGCTCCTGCTCCAAATCAACACCTTTGAGCTCAGCTGAAATTTCCAGCTTACCAGATGGACAAGCCAAATACCTTCTGGAGAAAAGCTTTATGGTCAGACCAGTCAAAGATTGAGCTATTTTGCTACATTTACAAGAGGTATGTTTTGGGGTAGTAAATGTGAGGCTTTCAAACATAAGAACACTGTCCCAGGTGTCAAGCATGGTAGTGGTAGCATCATGCTTTGTGGGAGTTTCATTACACCCTGGAAAAAGAACAGTTCAAAGAAATCATTAAAAGCTTAAAATTACACTGATGGCCATGATGAATGTATATAAACCTCTGACCAGAATTAACAATGTCTTTACACGGACTTTTGAAAAAGAAGGTTTTCACAGGAATCTGAGCAGTCCTGTGAAAAACTAAGCTTATTCCACAGTAACTGAGAGGCTAAGAAGCAGCCAAGTGTTGCCATAATTATCTTGTTGGTGGAAAGGCTGCCAGGAAAAGAAAATGTCAGGTTTGTAAAGTTTCATCTGAAGAAGTTACAACTCTTCTGGAACAATATCCTTTAAACAGAAGAGACCAAAGTGGAGATGTCTGACCATAATCCATCCATCCATCTTCATCCACTTTATCCGAGGCCGGGTCGTGGGGGCAGCAGCCTAAGCAGAGAGGCC